GCTGATCTCGTCCGGTCAGCTACCGTCTTCGAAGATTACCAATTAGTGAACCCATGGGTAGTAGTGATAGCAAACATGGCATCATGATTGGGATAACCCGGGTTTCCAACCATCAGGGCTTGGAGGACACTGGGAGTTTCGAGAGACCCACGTGTGACTCGTGCTCCCCTTTCCAGGTCAGATCCGTCACAAACCTTTCACAGACGGCCTGACTACATTGTTTGCATACACAACGACGGCGGTGACTGTAGGTACAAGACTACTAAAGAGTGAGTGAGTTTAGCTTTACGCCGCTTTTAGCAATATTCAGTAGGCCAGATATATTTACACTTGCAATATTTCTTCCAAATGGAGCCCACGCCATGTAGTGAGGTGAGGTGAAATTGGGTTTTACGTCGTGCTTGAGAATATTTCGCTCATATGACGACGTGCATGCGTGTGTATGTGTATGTGCGGCTGCTTGTACTAGCCAAGACTGAAGCTGGTTTTATAGTGCTAGCCCAGTGAGATTCCATGCCGCAGTGAAGCATGAATACCCCACTCAGACACATTATACTGACTCCGAGCCGACCAGTCCTTGATGTACCCATTAATGCCGAGCGCAATGCAGGGACCAACAAGTACCATATTTTAACGTCTTTTGGTATGACGCGGTCGGGGATTTAACCCGCGACCTTCCGCTCTCCGGGCGGACGCTCTAACCACTACACCACGGAGGCGGTTCCACGCCATGTAGTAATGAGTGAGTATGGTTTTACACCGCTTTCAGCAATACTCTAGCGGTATCCACAGGAGAGTGGACTGAACCCAAAGTATCACAAGAGGACATAAACAACATGAGACACGTTGGAGAATGTGGATTTATTTACTGTATACGGTAATGACACGTATGGCCCTATGCAATCCTTAAACCATACTGTGAATACAGCTTCACCATCTCTAGACGTACCTGTGCTTAACACCAAAACATACATATACAGCTGTAGTGGGAAATATATTACACCTCAATATATATATATACCGTATCACTATAGGTAGGGCGTTCTCTTGGACCTACAGTAGACATGCCAGACCGTTTGCCTGTAATAATTGCCATTTTTCATTTTATTGCTGAACACGTTTCATTTGTACTGTTGAATGACACTGCCTGTAATTAATTTAATTCAATTTCTCAAAATTAAATATGCACCATAACATGGACTCAGAATATAAAAGGTACAATTCAAATTGAAATAAAATGTCCAGAGAAAGGTGATTATTTGAAAGAATTTGGTATTAATATATTAAACTGAAAAGTACAGTTTTAAAACTGTGTTGGGTGATTTATTGAAATGGAAATTGTTCTTATAAAAAGAGAAACAAGTTTTGAGAAAAAGGATTATTTTGGTCAAAAGTGAAGCACTGTCTTGATGTATGAAATCATCAGGTAAATCACTGGCTTGATGTTGTATGTAATTATCATATGAATCGCAAGCTTGATGATGTATCAAATTGAGACAGGGTTTCTGCTGGAGGTCTAGGGCATTCCAAGAGAACCCCCTACTGGAGGGAAGAGTTGACCACCTCTTTGCTGATGATGTCCGAGGCAACACTGGGTGTCAAACAGTGATCACAACACTTGAACATGGCCCTAGGGAGTTCAGTAATACACAAAGAGTCTAAACACCACCCTTACCCATAAAACACCTACTTTATATACAGAATTAATCACAAATCACAAATTTATAAGAATTAGTCATGTGTGTACTGTCATCAGTCTTAAGTTTTGTAAAAATACAAAAATGTGTGACCATTAACTCCCTCCATGCTACATGAAATGTTATGACCTTAATTACAATGTAATTGAATAAACAAATATTTCATATTCATGAAAGGTAATATTATTTTAAGATTTTGGCAATAAAATCAAATCCCAACATCAGAATAATAACCTTAGAAATCACTTCTCATGTTGTCTAAATGAAGTGCAGATTTATGATGCTCTAGAAATTAATCCACAAAATGATACATGACATGTATACCAAAGAAACAATACGGCTTGAAACAGTTTAACAAAACCTACATAAACATGGTCCTCATTCTCTTATAGGAACAGGTTTCATAACATATCACAAAACAAATCATCATATTTTTAAAACTAGTATTTCAGGTTAGGAATGACTTTCATTATGGAAATAAAATGTTTGTAGGTGAAATATATTTGGCATTGTTTTGAGAAATTTTCTTTTTAATTATAAACATGCTTAGTCAAATTTGCAAAATATTTTGTACACAATTATTTTTGATTTACATAATTTTCATATACTCGTTTTTAAAAGTTTTTGATGAATTGTAAATATTTTTTAACATCTACCAGTAATTCTTCTCCATCACCTGAGAATGAAGTGTATTATGATCAAATAATCCCTGAATCTCATAAAAATATGATTCAACTTAACAGGATGCAGGTAAAAAAGAATCGTTGAGCACACAATTATGTCAAGAAAATGGCAAAAGCAACAACTGTCCTGTCAGTGGGCAATATTCTCCATCATCCTGCGACCATCCCCCAAAAGGGTTTCACATCTCCAAAAGGGACAAAAATGAAAGACTGAAATTTCAAAAGAATTTTGAAGGCCCAAGACAGTGACTACCTTTCCAATTATAGACTTCACAACACTATATATAGTATATGAAGCAGATGAGCTGGATATGATGGCATTTGCTACTGATTACAATCAATTTCTTTGATAACCTTTGTGCGGTGTATAAAAAATATCCCACTGCTTACTGGTAATGAATCATAGTATAATTCATTACACAGAGATACCTGAAAGTAGATCGTGTGCCAACAACAGTCTTTAATTTAATTATTTCATCACCATTAATTATCTGGTTTAATGAAATTCACATGGAGAACATTTCATATATACAGATTACTTAATCAAGAAAAAGAGCAGAGCCAGTAGCAAATTACCTTCACGTCTTTACACCCGATGAAACATCTAAAAACATGAATAAAAGAGTTCATTGTAAGTAAAACAACATTATAGCACTAGTGTTGTAAAACAAGTTCACAAACAAATGTAGAGTCATTTCTCCAGAGAATAAAACATCACATTAAAATGTTCCGTATCATCAGTCTTTGTCCTGTTGTCCTCCGAGAACTCCCTTGAATGTCGGCAAACCATGGCAGTGTAACAAGAGCTTCTGTCATCACTGAAGAAGTCGTGATTTGCCAAAACACCATCATCACATAGTTGAGATATGTAGCCAGAGCATTGATACATTCAATCATACCTTGTGTGTAAACCAAGATTGTGAGATGTTGCCACTGCCACGACATGGTGAGATGTTGCCACAAGCCCAAGGAGATGTTGCCACAACCCATGACGATGAGAAGTTGCTTGAACCAATGATGATGACATGTTGCCACAAACCCTGGTAGAAGGATGTTGCCACAACTGAGACATTGAGACTTTGCCACAACACAACCCAAGACAGTGAGATGTTGCCAGAACCCCTGGTAGAAGGATGTTATCACGATCATGATGTGGTGGGATGTTGCCACAACTGAGGCATTGAGACGTTGCCACAACTGAGGCATTGAGACATTGCCACAACACAACCCAAGACAGTGAGATGTTGCCACAATCCCTTGCAGTGAGACGTTGCTACTTTCCCAAGGTGATAAATTTGCATATTGTCCATTTATCATAAAATTCAACTTAAAATGATAAATATCATTCACGAACATCCACTGGGCTTCACTCCTCAATTTTGGGCCACAGTTAAATCCTCCTAGGAACTTGTACCTCCTGAGTCAATTTGTCTATCATTACATCACTTCCTGAAATCAATCCATGCTTGTATTATCAACTGACTGAGTCCAGGCAGGCAATGCCCCATCATGAAAACACTCAAATGCACAACAGGCAGCAATGGAGGTCTCACTGTCAATAAATACTGCAACAATAAATATTACCAATATATACATTCGGTATTAGACGGCAGCTCCAACGTACCCTTGTTGCACAAAGGGTAAGTCTGTAATTATGTACACTTGTTCAATATAAAACCTCAACAACCTGTTCTACCCCCTGGCGAGTCACACACATATAACAGTGTTTTTGTCTCACTGGCATTTACAAGTCACTTTACCATTATGTGTCCATATCCTTTCGTACAAGAAAGCACACATGATCACAAAAGAATTCCTTTTCACCTAATCCTTCCCAAATCAGATTGTTCAGTTAGCAGCAACCTGTGGTCTTCCTTCACTTGGTTTATTGGACTCTGGCAGAATATTCGCTTGTTGTTCTTTCATGGAACAAAAGACTAGCATTTTGACATAAGAGTTTTGTTACCAGATCTGGTAACTGTATCTCACTGCAGTACGTGAAGACACGTGTCAGTGATATCTTGTTCTGGGCTGTCAATCACTCCCGGAATAACTCTTGACAAACATATATGTACATGGCGATTTTAAGTCAGTTTGGTACCCACTGGTGTATCATGAATGACATGTCCTTGATTCAGATCTGGCAGTCACAGAGATAATGGTCACATCTGTCGCTGATACCATGATGACGGACCATGGTGACAGTCACTGGTACCCTGACAGCCATGGACATCATGATACCAGCCACCGAGGTCACGGTAACAATCACGGGGACCATCATTCCAGCCACTGACATCACATGATAGCAGTCACTGAAACCATGATAGCAGTCACTGAAACCATAGCCATGACAGCAGTCACTGAAACCATGACAGCAGTCACTGACACCATGACAACAGTCACTGAAACCATGACCATGACAGCAGTCCCTGAAACCATGATAGCAGTTACTGAAACCATGATAGCAGTTACTGAAACCATGACAGCAGTCACTGCAACCATGACAGCAGTCACTGATACCATGACAGCAGTCCCTGAAACCATGATAGCAGTTACTGAAACCATGACAGCAGTCACTGCAACCATGACAGCAGTCACTGATACCATGACAGCAGTCCCTGAAACCATGATAGCAGTTACTGAAACCATGACAGCAGTCACTGAAACCATGACAGCAGTCACTGCAACCATGACAACAGTCACTGAAACCATGACAGCAGTCCCTGAAACCATGATAGCAGTCACTGAAACCATGACAGCAGTCACTGAAACCATGACAGCAGTCACTGAAACCATGACAGCAGTCACTGCAACCATGACAGCAGTCACTGCAACCATGACAGCAGTCACTGAAACCATGACTACAGCAACTGAAACCATGACTACAGCAACTGAAACCATGAAGGCAGACATAAAAACCATGATGACAGCCATTGAAACCATGACGACAGTTGTCCCATGTTGATGGGTTCCTCTCACACAACATCATATCACATAGTCACACAACACACACTGTCCTGGTCCTAGGGACTTGAATCACTCTCAGACTTCCTCAGCAGTCTATCTGTGGACTTTCCGTGAATACACACATCCACTCGCAGTGACTCCTTGGGCATGGCCACAACTAGCACCCCGGAGGATGTTCCCGAAGGCTGGGTTGACATGTCATCCACTGAAGAAGAGCTGCTGCTGTTCTCCGAAGTGTTCAGAGGAACATTGATGTTCTCAAGGACCAGGTAGTCCCTGTCTTCCTCCATCAGTTCTTCCAGCATCATCCTGAGCTGGGTAAAGCAGGGTCTGTCTGCTGGGTTAGCTGCCCAGCACTGCAGCATGAGGGCATACCTGCAAGCAGAAATACAGCTGTGTCAACTACTAACACAAGTGCTTTGAGTGAGTAAGCTGGGTTTTACACCGCTTTTAGCAATATTCCAGCAATATCATGGCAAGGGACACCAGAAATGGACATCACACAATGGGCCTTCAGCATGACAAGCACTAGGCTACCCCAATGCCCCCACGAGTGATACTATGATATAAACATTCAGTGACAGGTGTCTGAAGTCAATAGTGAGTGAGTGAATGAAAGAATGCATGAGTGAGTGAATGAAGAATGCATTAGTGAGAGCATGTGAGCGTGAGAAAAGTGTAACGACATATTGAATAGTATTGTCTGGTGTGAGTAAAGTGTAATGAATAAATAGCATTGACTGGTGTAGTAAAGTGTAACGACATATTGAATAGTATTGACTGGTGTGAGTAAAGTGTAACGACATATTGAATAGTATTGACTGGTGTGAGTAAAGTGTAACGACATATTGAATAGTATTGACTGGTGTGAGTAAAGTGTAACGACATATTGAATAGTATTCACTGGTGTGAGTAAAGTGTAACGACATATTGAATAGTATTCACTGGTGCATAGTATTGACTGGTGCGAGGAGTAAAGTGTAACGACATATTGAATAGTATTGACTGGTGTGAGTAAAGTGTAACGACATATTGAATAGTATTGACTGGTGTGAGTAAAGTGTAACGACATATTGAATAGTATTGACTGGTGTGAGTAAAGTGTTACGTACATATTGAATAGTATTCACTGGTGTGAGTAAAGTGTAACGACATATTGAATAGTATTGACTGGTGTGAGTAAAGTGTAACGACATATTGAATAGTATTGACTGGTGCGAAAAAGTGTAACGACATATTGAATAGTATTGACTGGTGCGAAAGTAAAGTGTAACAACATATTGAATAGTATTCACTGGTGCGAAAGTGTAACGATATATTGAATAGTATTCACTGGAGGGAGTAAAGTGTAACGATATATTGAATAGTATTCACTGGTGTGAGTAAAGTGTAACAATATATTGAATAGTATTCACTGGAGTGAGTAAAGTGTAACGACATATTGAATAGTATTCACTGGTGTGAGTAAAGTGTAACGACATATTGAATAGTATTCACTGGTGTGAGTAAAGTGTAACGACATATTGAATAGTATTCACTGGTGTGAGTGAGGGTTGTTCAGCAATATGACAGGTCAGTAAATAATCCATGGTTGATATAATCATGCCACTCATCTTAATCTTTATTCTTAGCTCCCTGGGGAATATACCATCCAAGATGACTTTGAGACACAAGAAGTTAAACACTCATATCACCATTTCATCCTACTGGGCACTAATTCACAGATAGCTGAACAGAACCATATTTTGAATGTCACTTACCTTGGCACTATCAGCAATTTATGTCTGACTTAACATTTAAAAAGTTTCAATCAATTTGTATGCGATTCTACCAAAAGAAGGTGCTCCTATCCTGCAAGTAAAGCCTTGATACGAACAACACCGTTACTATGTGAAACTACACTACAATCTCTACTGCTGCTGGAGATGAAATAAGAAAACCTTTGGCTAATTACCCATGCCACCTCAGGCACAGTTTTATCATCACTAACATCACTAATTGAGAAGCATGGCAGATCCCACATTAAACACACAAAGAAAAGAACGGGAGGATGGGGGATGCAATTTGATCCTCTTTTAATTAACAAATGTATCTGTAACAGATGAAGAAGCCTTCAGGTGTTAGGTGAACGGTACTGAAACACAAGTCGATACTCACAGCTCATCTGAACAGTTGCTCGTCTTCTCCATCCTATAGCCATTCACAAGGACGTAGTACAGATCAGACAGGGCTATATGAGGGTAGGGGGAAGCACCTGGAATCAAACATCACATGTCACTACAGACCTAGATACCTGACTAGACAGTAAGAAAGGTTATTAGGGATGACAACTTCTTTGTTACATTATGATGCGACATTTGTAGTATAGGTTCTGATAGGTTTATTACAAAGGTGTAAGAACTCATAACGAAACATCATGATAACAAGAAGTTGTCATCTGTAGTGATGTAACTATTAACGTGACTGAATTGACACGTAATGCTCCCTTAACTACCGGATGTAAACAACTGCTCCCTGTGTACCCCAATGCATGATGGGACTATTACGTTATCGGGCCATGTGCTTCCCACACAAGTATGTATGCTCCAGCCGACTGCAATAAAGCCGCTGCTCTCCAAGTCGTGTTGTGTGCTTTAGGGGAATGTAAGTCACGATACCACATCATCCATAAAGTATCTAACCTTTCTTATTATTCATCAACTTCTAAAATGCCAATCAAACAGACTAGACAATGTTTAAATTTTGGAACATGCTCTATTTTTCACTTTTAGATTGAGTCTGTAAGTGAGTGATTATTGTGAGAAATATTCGTACCCATTGTAACGATTTCCCAGAGCAGGATGCCAAATGACCACACATCACTCTGGGTGGTGAACACTCTGTCCCTCAGAGACTCGATAGCCATCCATTTGAGAGGAAGCTTCCCATTGGTCAGTTTCTTGTACTGGTTGTCATTGTAGATGTCACGTGACAGGCCAAAATCACACAGCTTGACCACCTTGTTCGGGCCGAGTAAGACATTCCGGGCAGCAAGGTCACGATGGACGTATCTTCGATCAGTTAGGTATTCCTGGGAAAAGAAAATAGAAAATTAATAGGCTTAACACTCAAATCAACACTCAAATATTCGACAAACAAAATTGGGTCTTTAGGATGAGCTCTAACAGATCTGTGAGTGGGTTTGAATTGTATTTCACTAAAAGTAATCTGCAAGTTTAAAGTGACTATCAAGTCAATGTAATCCCACAATGGTGATTGACTTGGATAACAGTAAGTCAGATGTTTATCCCAATGGCCAGCAAACAGTTCAAGGACAGCAACTGTGCCCAGCAAATTAAGAACACTGAATTCAGTACGTCATCTTGGTGACCACTAGATCTATGTATTCAAAGTCTAAGTCGTAGCCACCACCTAATTCCCAATACACCTCATCCATCGTTTTGTTTGTTTGATTGATTGATGTTCAACACCGCACTCTGCAATATTCCAGCTATATGGCAGCGGTCTGTCAATAATCAAGGCTGGACCAGACAATCCAGTGATCAACAGCATGAACATCGATCTACGCAATTAGGATACAATGATGTGTCAGCCAAGTCAGTGAGTCTGACCCTCTAATTCCGTTAGTCGCCTCTTTGACAAGCATGGGTTACTGAAGACAAATTCTAAACCGGATCTTCATGGGTGCCCATCGATCCTAACGTCCCAAACTTATTCAGATCGAGACATGCCAGTGTACTTCTGACTTGAATCAAGCAGTCCAGCTACAAAATCTGCTTATGTACATCCTGTCTCCATTCAGCTTCAGATTGCCAACAAACACCAGCACCTGGAGAGATTACCAACAACACCAGCACCTGAAGAGATTGCCAACAAACACCAGTACCTGGAGAGACTGCCAACAAACACCAGCACCTGAAGAGATTGCCAACAAACGCCAGCACCTGGAGAGATTGCCAACAAACACCAGCACCTGGAGAGATTACCAACAACACCAGCACCTGAAGAGATTGCCAACAAATGCCAGCACCTGGAGAGATTGCCAACAAACACCAGTACCTGGAGAGACTGCCAACAAACACCAGCACCTGGAGAGATTACCAACAACACCAGCACCTGAAGAGATTGCCAACAAACGCCAGCACCTGGAGAGACTGCCAACAAACGCCAGCACCTGGAGAGATTGCCAACAACACCAGCACCTGAAGAGATTGCCAACAAATGCCAGCACCTGGAGAGATTGCCAACAAACGCCAGCACCTGGAGAGATTGCCAACAAACACCAGCACCTGGAGAGATTGCCAACAAACGCCAGCACCTGAAGAGATTGCCAACAAACGCCAGCACCTGGAGAGATTGCCAACAAACGCCAGCACCTGGAGAGACTGCCAACAAACGCCAGCACCTGAAGAGATTGCCAACAAACGCCAGCACCTGAAGAGATTGCCAACAAACACCTGAAGAGATTGCCAACAAACACCAGTACCTGGAGAGATTGCCAACAAACACCAGCACCTGGAGAGATTACCAACAACACCAGCACCTGAAGAGATTGCCAACAAATGCCAGCACCTGGAGAGATTGCCAACAAACACCAGCACCTGGAGAGATTACCAACAACACCAGCACCTGAAGAGATTGCCAACAAACACCAGCACCTGGAGAGATTGCCAACAAACACCAGCACCTGGAGAGATTACCAACAAAACCAGCACCTGAAGAGATTGCCAACAAACGCCAGCACCTGAAGAGATTGCCAACAAACGCCAGCACCTGGAGATTGCCAACAACACCAGCACCTGAAGAGATTGCCAACAAATGCCAGCACCTGGAGAGATTGCCAACAAACACCAGCACCTGGAGAGCATTGCCAACAACACCAGCACCTGCCAGCACCTGAAGAGATTGCCAACAAACGCCAGCACCTGAAGAGATTGCCAACAAACGCCAGCACCTGGAGAGATTGCCAACAAACGCCAGCACCTGGAGAGATTGCCAACAAACGCCAGCACCTGGAGAGATTGCCAACAAACGCCAGCACCTGAAGAGATTGCCAACAAATGCCAGCACCTGGAGAGATTGCCAACAAACGCCAGCACCTGAAGAGATTGCCAGCAAATGCCAGCACCTGAAGAGATTGCCAACAAACGCCAGCACCTGGAGAGATTGCCAACAAACGCCAGCACCTGGAGAGATTGAGATTGCCAGCAAATGCCAACAAGCACCTGAAGAGATTGCCAGCAAATGCCAGCACCTGAAGAGATTGCCAACAAACGCCAGCACCTGAAGAGATTGCCAACAAACACCAGCACCTGGAGAGATTGCCAACAAACGCCAGCACTTGGAGAGATTGCCAACAAATGCCAGCACATGGAGAGATTGCCAACAAACGCCAGCACCTGGAGAGACTGCCAACAAACGCCAGCACCTGAAGAGATTGCCAACAAATGCCAGCACCGGAAGAGATGATGTGTAGAAGTAACCCATGTCCCAAAGATTTAGTCCTTGTTACTGTATCCTCGTGTTATGGGTTTTCGTACACTTTAGAACATCCATTGTTGTTTACAATGCTACAACATGTCATTAATTTTATAACAAATACAAGCCATTATTCAAGAACGTACAATGTTTGTGTGATGCAACACCCCTCATTATAGTACGAGTGAGTACTGCGGAACCTATGTTCCAAAATAAAGCATAAAGGAAATGCGTTGTTTGTCTTATATACTAGATGATGTACGAGGGTCACCAGGTACAGTGACACAATGTACCAGCTAATGGTCCATCACCCTGTCAAACATCATATGTCTGCTCAGCCTCCAAACCAACAACTATGTCAGAAGAAACATTCTACTGATACCCTGGCTTATCTCCTTTACAAAACAGGGCACAAACATGCAGTGAAATGTCTTGAGAATTACTACAAAACAGTTGACAATCCCCGCTGAACTGCAGTAAACAACACACAAGGGGTATATCCCCACTACAGCAATTCCCATATGCTATTCCAGTGTCATTACGGGTCGGCAGATCCAAACAGCTGTTTGTAGTGTGCATTTCACCACTCAGCCAGAACTGATAATACCAAACCTATAACACGTTATGGTTAATTTCACCCCAAGTTTTCAATGTAAATATTGACAAAGTAAACTTCTTATGTCTATCTTGTGACTAGGAAGATTGAAAAAAAGCCATTATCAGAAAGTTTGTGAAAGCTGTTTACTGGAACCTGGTCGAGTTGAGAGTCTGTCATATCTCCAGACAGGTCTTGTTGGCTTTTGAGGGGAAACATTGGCCTCTATGTACAACTAATATGCCTAAGTCATTAAACAAAACCTGTTTATCTAACACTTTTTAAAATGCTTCCCTGAGATGCTTATCGTTTTGCCATCTGCGCCTGGGCAAAGTGGGTACACAAAAAGCTAATGCACAACAAACTTGTGATGTTCCTCTGAAACGCGATTTATCATTTCTTGTTTGAGGGCATGCAATTTCTTTATATTTCCTACGTCAATGATGACAAGGCAGATAGATTGAATATCTCACAGGTGAAATGAATGCCAGAATGTTTATGTTAATTTCACCTTGATTGTTGTTGAATAAAACTCCACTGGGGAATCTTGTTACAGATGAGTGCATTACTTGGCACAATGGTCTTGGGAAGGTGGAAATAGTTGCTAAGCAACCTGACATTACCAGACTTCAAAACTGTGCACTTGTTTTGTTTGTTGTGAAGTCCATTTTTTAATATGATTGCATTTATTTCAAGTGAATTCCCTCTGGTAGCATGTAATATGACAACGTACTGAAGGAATGCTTGTGTACTTGCATGTTCTTAGGATTTACAACTTGATGTGTTGTGGTGAGGAAGTCCAAACTGCAGAACTGTTTGTTTGTTTAACGCTGCACTGGCAGCGATCGGTATCTAATGGAGTCTGAACCAGACAATCCAGTGATTGACATAGTGTACGCAACTGGGATACGATGACATCAAGTACTTCAGTGAGTCTCACCACCAGACCCTGTTCTTACCTCTTACATCAAGCAAGGGTTGTCAAACACCTATTCTTACCCAGATATTTACAGAGTGAGTGAGTGAGTTGGGTTTTATGCAGCCTTTGGCAATATTCCAGCACTATCATGGCAGTTGACACCAGAAATGGGCTTCACACAATCTACCCAGATTAGCAGAGAACTGTAGAGCTTGAGATAGTATGGTTTACATCACTTTAAACAGTATATCAGTTTTGTTACTGTATGCCCTGTATGCCTCAGAAGTATACTTTGACTTTCAGCAAAGTAGACAGATGTAAAACCAGCACTGTTTAAAACTACCCGTACTTAAAAGGTCACCAAAATGAAATGTATAACTGACTAGCTGTATGTGGAAATCAACTTTTTCCTTGAATAATCATATTTGGCAGTACCTCACTTGGTTCATTCTCTTCCCACAGAGGTTACTCCTGTCATATCTTCCTACACGTAACCTCTGTTCTAATACGGCCATATTTCCCGGTTCTCGTGAAAATCCCCTAGCGCAAAAAGATCAAACACGAATTATCTCCCTTCTTTCTATCCAATCAGAACACGCGGTTACATCGATTTAGATTCAACTTGACTAACACGAGCAAATGTGGGGCCACAAATATCCTCCATCTGCCGGGACTTGTGTTGATGTTACACACAAGACGCTTAATGGCTAGCTTGTCCGTTGTCAACGAGGGCGCAGGGAGACGCTTACTGATCCGCCATAACATGACTGAGTTCTGTCTAGAAGAAACGGTTGCGCATCGCGCAGGGGAAGAAGTTTAGTTTTCTCGGCATACGGAAATTACCGAGGCCTTGCTGTAATGATCACTTTTGAAACAGCGTGCCGCTGATTGCACAACTAAATCTGATTGTCTCCAATCACGAAGTCTTGAACGCCACACCATGAAAGGGCCGTATTAGAAACAGAGGTTACGTGAGGAAGATATGACAGGAGTAACCTCTGTGGAAGAGAATGCACTTGGTTGAGTGAAATGGGTTTGATGCCAAGCCGGGCACAATTTCAGCAATAACACAACATAACTCTGAGTATACAGCCAACCCCACCCTTCTTAATGAAGAACATTTGGCAACATCCATAATTCTGAAGTTATTAATATTCTACAGCAATTTAAAACACACAACACAAATATTTCTCTAGATCTGTGATAATAGATTTGGTTCAGGTGCAGCAATATATACAGATACAATATAGCCTTATAATATCCCCTGACAGTTAAACAGCAGTAAAAACAACAGGGTCTGCTCAATCTAGAAAGTTATACCACTCTGATAGCTCAAATATCAGAGATGAATATTGCAATGTTCAAAAATCTTTACAGATTCCTATTTGGTGTTTGGTTCACAGCATGAAATATTTTGTGATTAGATTTTTTTCAGTTTGGGGATCTTCAAGATGTTATGATTATAATTAATGTACGCTAAATGTAATAATACCCTCAAACATTAACTGCAAGTTATTACATAAATATGGTCTTGATAGTGGGCGAGGCCTTATTTTCATCGGTTTATTGAAATACTAGTAAACAAACAAAATAGATTGTCAGCCAATCACTAACCACGGAATTACATGCAATGCATTTACTAGTATTTCTAATTAACTGTACACTGAAACTAACTATATACCACTTCAAACTTGAGTAGCATTATTACTACTTTAACCCCATGAAAGTACATCTAGAATCAGTTTCACAAATAGTATAATACTTGAATTGAGTGAGTGAGTTTAGTTTTACAGCGGCTTAGCAATTTTCCAGCAGCATCATGGCAGGGGACACAGAAGTATCCTTGAAGAATATCAAACTGGGCCTTACACCTGTTGAACATGTACTACAGACCTGCCCTATAACCAAAATGTTTATCAGTTTTAAGAAAAACTACTTTATATTCAAAGACAATTTAGTTCCCTGTCTTATTCACGAATTGTCGGAACGAAACTAAAAAACTCAAAAGTTGGGTCAAAACACAAAGAAAGACAGTCCACTGAAGCACCTTGCTGATTATTACAATTACAGGTTTGCCAGTTTTTATTTTCATCATTATTATTATAAGTTGATTATTAAAGACTTACCATAGCCATGGCCACTTGTCTAGCTTTAAGGACAACATGTCAGTCGGGGTGATGAAATAGTTTTCAATGCCACCGGAATCATCAACCATGGAATATGCAATTTCACTGGCACCATCAGACCGCTTCCGAAGATCCCCCTCCAGACGACACTTCCTGCAATATTGATGAAGACTGTTGAAGAACTGGCTAGCATCCCCTAAGGGGCATGTTTGTAATCAAGCACTCGATACCATCCTTTCTGTAGATTGAAACGAGTTAGCATCTGATGAGGGAAGAAAGTTTATCTTTTGTCATCAAATGTGATGAATTATTGAAAATAATTACATGCCACAAATATGAAGTACAAACATGACTTGTGGAAGTTCACCTGGGATTTTGGTGCTAATTACTAGCTGAGGCATTTGCCAATTTACACCTGATTGTGGAGGTAAATTCATCCTGCTATACAGTCTCACAATGGATCCAAGGTGAGCTAAGTATGTCGGTCAAGCATGTCGCCATTATTCCCATAGTGTCTAGTACAATGAATGCCCTACTACTTCATCTGAGTTTGGTGCTATCCCGCAAACAGGAGGACAGCTGTCAAGGAGAAGGATCGAGAAGAGGATGAGGCAAAGAAGGACAACAGTGGTGACGGAGATGGATGGGATGGGGTGATGGGAAGTAAGGGGATGGGAAGGAGGGGAAGGGGAGCATAAGGGTGAGCAAGTATAAGGTAGGAAGACTAAGTGCATGGGTGGATATGGATAAGGGTATCAGTATGGGGCTCTAATAGGGAACAGCACTGGAATGGAAGGACTGGTGATGTGCTGGTGATAGTGTTGCTAATGAAGGTGCTGGTGATGGAGTTGCTGGTTAAGGCACTGTTGGTGAAGGTGCTGGTGAAGGTGTTGCTGGTGAAGGTGTTTGCTAGTGAAGGTGTTTGTTGGGTGAAGGTGTTGTTGGTGAAGGTGTTGCTGATGAAGGTGTTGCTGGTGATTGTCAGAGTTGAAGGAACACGGAACGTGACAAAGGGAATTCAGGGACAGAGGAACGGGAGGGACAAAGGGACATGGACAGAGAACAAGAACAGGGGGACAGGGGGTGGAGGACTGGGGACAGGAACAGGAACAAGAATGTGGACATTCATAGAGAGCCAGTGAATGGGAGGATAGGGATTATAAAGAAGCAAGAGATGATGAACATCATGAAACAAAGAATATTCTGTTTGCATGTGTGCAGTCAAAAACTAAGCTTTCCTAGATAAGACTGTCTGCATTATGTGAGTTGGAGGAATATTTTCATCAGACAGTTTTGGACAAGGAATTTTCTGGCTGAATGGTTTGTGAAGTTCCTGTTTTCAAAGCCAGCATTTTTGGACATTCGTCTCATAATAGAACTCAGTTTATTTATACCAACAGGTTGTCGCTTGAACCAGGGGAATTTGCTAGATGGTTCCTTGGTGTTAGTGGCAATATAGAAAGGTGTATCTGGACTGGAGTAGCCTGCAGGACGGAGGCTCGAGTACAGCTTGTACATGGATACTGGACAGCGTTCATCATTAGTCGCCCATGCTTTGGGGTGCATGTTACGAATACCCAAAGGATTATCCCCTTGGCATGTTTTTCGACTGCCTCTCTGTGAATTCAAGAAATTCTCTACCATCTGTGTCAGTTTTAAGTGCAACATCCCCATTTCATGTCAGTGTGTGGTTTGACACCTCTGGATCCCAAAATGAGTGGTGCTGTTCCACCACATGGTGTTCAAAATTGATTCGGGATCGTGAGGACCAAGTTGTTTTGTTTCATAGAGTTTGTTAATGTCATCGTCAGTGAAGCGATTCAACACGGCGAGGTAGGTTACCCATTCCTTCACTCTTTAAGACTTTTGTTTTGTTTTGATCACAGTGTTTAACTTTTCGAATTCACGAGCATTGATAAGTGATGAGCGGTAGTGCTTTTGACTTAAGGTACCTGTCAAAACTGGACAACATCCTCATGAACTGTAGATGGTTCATAATTGCTACCATCTTCCTTGCTGAGACTAATAAAAATGTACACAAAATGTCACAAAGTTCTGTTGGTTGAATGGACTCTATAGGGCGTGTGTAAGCCATTTGCAATCATGAACCCTTACCAAACCTCATGTTGTACATTGTTTTCACGTTGTGTGTTTTAGGTTCTGGTTGTCATGAACAAATTTGTCAATTTGAGAATGATCATATAGCTGTTCAGGGTTTGGGGATCGATCCGTGATCGTTACAATCATCAGGTTCATCGGTAAAAAATCATCCTTCATCAGTTCATCAATTAAGTCAGTAGGTAAATCGATCTCACCACAAACTGGCACTGGCGTTACCGTGTCAGGTAATTTCGTAAAGCGATACCTTGAAACCTGTCGCATCTCTCCTGTATAAGTTCTAATGTTGTACATGTTGTATGTTCCAAGGGGAGCAACAATGGAGATAACACGCCCTTTGTCTTTACCATCGATCTTCACGTGTCGTTTACACAGATGTTACTTATTGTTGAAGCCATTTTGAAGTCGTGACTATGCATGATCTGCAGCAACTACGGTAGCAGACGACAAAGGAAAAAAGAAAAGAAAATATGTACATGTTACTATCTAAATTAAGTTCGGTTTATTTCATAATTGCATACTTACAGGACAGTCGCACAAATACGGTAGGCGACAGCTGAACAGATATTTAAAGTGTTTGGCACGAGTAACAGGTCTGCATTCGATTGATGCACACGAGAAACTTATGAATGAATTTTAATCAGGAAAGTAGTCCGTCATAACCTGACCCTAGGTCATCACCATGGAGTAGCCAATCACGGGATTAGAAATCGATCTCACACATATGTGTGATACCAGTTTTCTCACACGGGTTTCTCACCCACGGGTGTGTAAGAAATTATTATAATTAATGTACGTTAAATGTAATAATACCCTCAAACATTAACTGCAAGTTATGACATAAATATGGTCTTGATAGTGGGCGAGGCCTTATTTTCATCGGATTATTGAAATACTAGTAAACAAACAAAATAGATTGTCAGCCAATCACTAACCACGGAATTACATGCATTTACTAGTATTCTAATTAACTGTACACTGAAACTAACTATATACCACTTCAAACTTGAGTCGGGATTATTTCTACTTTAACCCCTTGAAAGTACATCAAGAATCAGTTTCACAAAGAGTATCCTTGAACTGAGTGAGTGAGTTTAGTTGTACGTCGCTTTTAGCAATTTTCCAGCAGCATCATGGCAGGGGACACCAGAAGTATCCTTGAAGAATATCAAACTGGGCCTTACACCTGTTGAACATGTACTACAGACTTGCCCTATAACCAAAATGTTTATCAGTTTTAAGAAAACTACTTTATATTCAAGACAATTTAGTTCCCTGTCTTATTCACGAATTGTCGGAACGAAACTAAAGAACTCAAAAGTTGGGTCAAACACAAAGAAAGACAGTCCACTGAAGCACCTTGCTGATTATTACAATTACAGGTTTACCAGTTTTTTTATTTTCATCATTATTATTATAAGTTGATTATTAAAGACTTACCATAGCCATGGCCACTTGTCTAGCGAAGGACAACATGTCAGTCGGGGTGATGAAATAGTTTTCAATGCCACCGGAATCATCAACCATGGAATATGCAATTTCACTGGCACCATCAGACCGCTTCCGAAGATCCCCTTCCAGACGACACTTCCTGCAATATTGATGAAGACTGTTGAAGAACTGGCTAGCATCCCCTAAGGGGCATGTTTGTAATCAAGCACTCGATACCATCCTTTCTGTAGATTGAAACGAGTTAGCATCTGATGAGGGAAGAAAGTTTATCTTTTGTCATCAAATGTGATGAATTATTGAAAATAATTACATGCCACAAATATGAAGTACAAACATGACTTGTGGAAGTTCACCTGGGATTTTGGTGCTAATTACTAGCTGAGGCATTTGCCAATTTACACCTGATTGTGGAGGTAAATTCATCCCGCTATACAGTCTCACAATGGACCAGGTGAGCTAAGTATGTCGGTCACATGTCGCCATTATTCCCATAGTGTCTAGTACAATGAATGCCCTACTTCATCTGAGTTTGGTGCTATCCCACAAACAGGAGGACAGCTGTCAAGGAGAAGGATCGAGAAGAGGATGAGGCAAAGAAGGACAACAGGGTGAGGGAGATGGATGGGGTGATGGGAAGTAGGGGGATGGGTAGGAGAGGGAAGGGGGAGCATAAGGGTGAGCAAGTATAAGGTAGGAAGACTAAGTGCACGGGTGGATATAGATAAGGGTATCAGTATGGGGCTCTGATAGGGAACAGCACTGGAATAAAGGACTGGTGATGTTGCTGGTGATAGTGTTGCTAGTGAAGGTGTTGCTGGTGATAGTGTTGCTGGTGAAGGTGTTGCTGGTGAGGGTGTTGCTGGTGAAGGTGTTGCTGGTGAGGGTGTTGCTGGTGATAGTGTTGCTGGTGAAGGTGTTGCTGGTGAGGGTGTTGCTGGTGAAGGTGTTGCTGGTGAGGGTGTTGCTGTTGAAGGTGTTGCTGGTGATTGTCAGAGTTGAAGGAACATGGAACACGGCTGGTGACAAAGGGATTTCAGGGACAGAGGAACGGGGAGGGGACAGGGGACAGGGGACATGGACATGGACAGAAAACAAGAACAGGGGACAGGGGTGGAGGACTGGGGACAGGAACAGGAACAAGAATGTGGACATTCATAGAGAGCCAGTAAATGGGATGGATAGGGATTATAAAGAAGTTTAAGAGATGCTGAACATCATGAAACAAAGAATATTCATTTTGAATGTGTGTAGTCAAAAACTAAGCTTTTCTAGACAAGACTGTCTGCATTCATTGATAATGTTCTCTTCATCCTCTCTGTACTTGCCTCATGAACAAAGATATGATAAAGGTAGCAACAGATTCCATACTTTGGAACCTGCAGACACATTGCCTCATTCACTGCAAAAATATTCCATCACAGGAATAACTATTTGTGTTGGCCCTTCCTGAATCCTCACAATAAATAAGCATACATCGCCAAAGTGCATCACCTTATTAACAATAGGACATTTATTTTCATGTTTCCATCATATTTGTGTACATCACACTTACTTTAAACATAGCACTAATTAGTCAGACAAGATAAACACTTCAAAGTAACACTTTGTATACACACATGCTTCCTGTACCCACTGCTTTCCTGATTATAGAGCATGTTTATATCACTGCTTCATGAAATTGACATCTGTCGATGGATGTGTATTTCATTTCCTACACCTTGTTTCCACCATCAGCAACTACAAGTCCAGCTTCCAGCAGCTTGTTCAAGTGTACATGTCATGCATCCGTAGTTTTCAAATAAACCTTCAACAGTAATAGGGTAACAACATGTTCTGCAAGTTCGCATGGAACTTTTTAAAAAGACAGTGTTTTCAAGGATTTCATCAATTAGTTTTGCACGTTGCATAACAGGCATTGCTGGTTTGATTTTGAAAATAAACATCCATTTCATAAACATCTGTTGCCTGAGGCATGGAATTCATTCAAACAAAATCAGGACTAGAATTCACAGAGCTACTACACTTTAGCTACCTGTGACTTCCAAGCTTTTACACCAGCTTGTTAATACTATTGTGGCTGAGTTTATTTTCTGAAACTTGATGGTTACTGCAGTAGTTATTCTGTGAGCATGGTTTTACTCCACTTAAGAATATTTCAGCAATATCAATGAAACACCAAGAATGGGCTTCTCACATTGTACCGATGTGGGGAATCAAATATGAAACAGCAAGTGTTTTAATCCCTCAGTTAAGTCACTGCTCAAAATTAATCCATGCATACCAGTGAGCTGAGAGAACGTAGTTTTACGCTTGCACCACACTGAAGATTTAGATCAGAATTGGTTTCAAAGACCAATCATTTTCAAAATGTTTCAGTTGGAAAAACGTTCAACAGTTTATATCTGTACTGGCAGTTTAAAAAAATAATATTTGAACACTTCAACTTTCAACAAAACATTCCTTTCACACCTGCTGTCAAAGTTGTTTCAACCTAACTCCATTTCACAAAAGTTCTTACCTACAAATTCAGGTTTATTAGGATAAGAGATTTGTATCAGATTGTAGGGTGTACTGTCTGGTGCCTTGGACTGCATGGCACTGTGTTTACCCTGATAAGAAGGTGAAGGTTACACTGTCCCCTCAGATGTGATAAAGTCATTAATTGATTACACCGTAGCTGAGGAGAGTCCTGGAGTGCACAAAGATGGTTGGTAGTTCCAAATTTTGTATCACTTGAGTTGAGTTGCATTATACGTCACATCGGCATTATTCCAGCCATATAGCGATGAGACAAAGTCTGCATTCATAAACATTTTAAGTACAAAGTCCAAATGAGATTTTATATTATAAATAATCCAGTGATGAACCATGTAAGTAAAATGCAATTTGTTCCAAAGAATTTCTCACAAAACCTACTTGTGGCCCTTTGCCTAAATATTTGACATGCTTAACCTTGAGGTAAGATTTGACATCTTTTGACTTTGACCTTAGACTTGAAATGTTTGATCTTAATAAATACATGTTTTTAGACACAATGAGGATAAGACATCAGCATTATTTTATGAAAGAAGCTCAGTTTTCACTGCAAGACATACAAATATCTCTTAGTCCTTCCCCTCCAGACAGCCAAGCGTCATAATGAATTAAGCTCTCAGCAATGGCTTCTATCATCATTGCATACACGCCAAGCATAACATCACAGGCTTTTGAGCTTTGGTGGAAGTATGAGTGTCAAAAGCACCAGTTAAGAATTTTCGTGATAGAAAGATATCAGATAATTCGCTATACAGTTCCTTGCAGTGAACTGCTTCTTTAACAAGACACCAAATATAAGCAAATTGAAGCAGAGATAAGATAGTTTCATAATGGCACAAGTAGGTGATAAGATACATAGTGCACTTGTGATGATATTAACCCACTTCATCAGTTACAAACATCTTATTTTCTGAGTGTTTAATCCATTTTTTGTCTATCTGCACTCACTACACATGAAGAATATCAGATGTGAAGTCCTTTGCACTCATTGTTTTATCAAACCTTTTAAAAAATTATACTTTTAAAACTCTTTAGCACCTTTAGGAATATTAGTGATGCAAATGATAATAGTTAAAATCTGAAAGTGTTTTCCTAGTCAACTTTTTGCTACTTACATTTTTAGGTGTTTGTTTCCAGAATACAGGTACCAATGATCAAGTCAGTGAGTTAAGATTTACAGTCATATCAGCAATATTTCAGCAATATTTCAGCCATATCGTCACCTAAAATAAGTTTTAAATTCACCATAAATACATGTACATTATAAAAAGCCTCTCAATAAAGGACAGTAAAAACAATTAGAATATCACAGTTATGAATATAAATCTACCAATCATTAAGGGATAGAGAGGAGTTTGGACATAATGTTTTTCCTAGATACAATTAAAATATATTCTTGTCAAATTATACCATAGAGGGGAATCTTATTTCAGTTATATATGTAAGCCTTAAAGGCTACTCTTTGTTTATTTTCTGGTTTACAGATTTGGGGTATATCTTGGCTTGGGTATATTGGGAAACATACATTTCTCTTCTACATCAGAAACTATAAGACATCAATGCCATAGAGTAGCCACTTTTGATTCATCTACCAAAACAGATTCTTGAAGACAAAATAGATTTGGGGTATATCCTTGGCTTGGGTATATTGGGAAATATACATTTCTCTTCTGCATCAAAATATAAGACATCAATGCCATAGATTAGCCACTTTTGATTCATTTACCAAAACAGATTCTTGAAGACAAAATAGCAATTAAAAATATACATTTGGATAAATCAAGATCAGTGATTACACCATGTCTTCACACACTTGCTTGAGTTAGTTGATTCATTATATCAGAGCTCCAGATAAGATTTAGCTCATGTGAGTACTGTACCCACTGTATTTTTGGGGGGTATTATGAATGTTGAGTGGGTATTTCATTTTCCGTTACCCACTGCTTTCAAATATGTGCGTATTTCAGTCATTTTACTCACCTAAGTATTATGTCATTGAGTAAGTTTACTAAGCAGGTATGTTCTGAGTTATGTCATACCTAATCAAAACCAACTTAAATATAATGGAAATGATTTCATAAAAAATCATTCATCCTGTACTGACAGTACAACACTTGTCCTATACTAACAGTACAACTTGATAGCAATCAATGTCTTTTTCATTACGCAAGTGTTTTTATAAATATATTCCGTACTTATTTGTTTTAAACTTTTTGCATATCTAACATTTTAAATGCGTAATTGGTACGCAACAATTATATATCAATGCGTAATTGGAAATTTTCTATGCGTATTTTACTCGGATACGCAGCTTATCTGGGCCTGTGTAATATGATATAACATAACAGCCTATTTCTTGCCTGCCAGCATGTTTCATATTATACACATCTTCTTCAAGCAGAGATAGGTTTGTTCCACAGTACACAGAAACCATTCACAGCGCACAAAATCATTAACATTTCCCCTTTTTTGTAGTGCATTTTAATACTTCTCTTATCAATACAAGTTCCGTTAGAAAAGTAAAACTCAATTCTCACTACATTCATTTTACTTTCTTAAATGTAAATCTGGTTAATTGAATCATTAAACAACATTTCATAAACAACAAAAATGACATAAATGTTCCAGAAGCTTGGAGATTGAAGTCGGAATAAAGTGATAAGTGATGCTCTAAAGGTATGGCGCTAATTCAGCACACAAAGCAGTTGGAGGTTAATGAGGTGCATGCATGTATTTAGCAACACTTCCCCAGTCTTGTTGACTTCAGTGTAAGACATTCCAACCAGCTTGGGTTGTAGATAACATTAGTTAATGATCTTCAGACCTTTGGCAACAGATTCCTTTAAGGAAGTCTCCAAGAACACATTTAATCTTTTTGTTTTCTTGCTTTCTCAGTACATTTCACTTAAAGGATCTGCAACGAATGCAGATATTTATAGGTTCCATGAATGTGGGAAGATGGCAGAAATTGATGGCATCCAATGTTGTTTACCATATTGAAAGTTGAAACTGACACCTCTGTCATTATCAAAACCTCCAAATGTGCATGATCTATTTATAACCGTAACTGTGCTGAAGATGCCCTTTTAGCTGATGCACAAAACCATCATACACTAGGAATGACAACTTCTAATATGCCTCTCAAACAGTTCATTTTACGCTGCTGGTAATAATAATATATGTTTATAAAGTTGTAAATGTAAACTTTGAAATATGATAAAAATGTTCATGTTTGTCAAAGCAAGTGACTTAGGTATTGTGCGCAAGACTACAGCTCCTTGAACACCTTCTGCAATATCATACAAGGTGTTCCTCGTTAACTTTCAGTCATGACCTTGGCAAACTCAACACAACACAACACAAGCCTTGGTTCACCTTCATGTGTAGATAACAGGGAGACAAATGTGCCTCGCACAGTGCATCCTTTCACACTTTCACTGCACCCATTCAAGGCTGGAGATATTTGTTTCTATCAAAATTTAATACATATAGAGTTAGTGTTTATGAAAAGTTTAGACTGTGTGTGTGTCATATATCAGAGTCAGTGTGTGTTTGTGTGTGACTGTGTGTTTGTGTCAGACAGTGTGTGTCACTGTGTTTGTGTCAGACTGTGTCAGTGTGTGTGTTTGTGTCAGGCTGTGTGTGTCAGTGTGTGTTTGTGTCAGACTGTGTGTCAGTGTGTGTTTGTTTGTGTCAGGCTGTGTGTGTCAGTGTCAGACTGTGTGTCAGTGTCAGACTGTGTGTGTGTTTGTGTCAGGCTGTGTGTGTCAGTGTGTGTTTGTGTCAGGCTGTGTGTGTCAGTGTCAGACTGTGTGTGTCAGTGTGTGTTTGTGTCAGTGTGTGTGTTTGTGTGCATGGTTTACACAACACTCAGCAATGTTCACACTGATTGCAGCTTTCAGCTGATCAAGTTTGGCCCAGAGAACCTTGTGACTGACATAAGTTTGAACCATGCCATGAACCAATCCATCAAGCCGACCACCCGATCCACTAAGTCATCTCTTACTACTTGGTTAGGTACTAGGGACCAATTCTAAATCCCCAAGGAAGCAACTGCATCATTAGGAACTCTCAATTTCCTAAAAAATATGTTTGGCTTGATGTCACCTGACAAAATACCATTAAACCAGTTTACCTTGATAAAAGCAAAATACTAATTGTGTTCCTTATCAAATTGACAGTCGTCCAACACTGTAAGTATGGCTAACAAACTGGTTGCCAGCACAACCACAAACAGCACATTACTCTGGGGTCTGCACTCTTCTTATCACAGGAACAAATTGAATTATCAAGATTTTTTTTAAAATGAATTAAAATGAAAAGGTTGGAATGTCTTTTCTTAAGTGAAGACAACTGGAGAACTGCCATATCTACAGAGTTTAGTGGTGGCATTATCTACACACTCTGGGCTCCTTGTATAGGGAGTGTTGCACGGAGTAGCCCCATGTCACTCGGATCCCGTTACCTGTACACACAGGGATCCCGTTACCCGTACACACAGGGATCCCGTTACCCGTACACACAGGGATCCCGTTACCCATACACACAGGGACCCCGTTACCCGTACACACATGGACCCCGCTACCCGTACACACAGGGATCCCGTTACCCGTACACACAGGGATCCCATCACCTGTACCTGTACACATGCCTATCTTGTACCTGTAAACAATAAAGGGCAGGTGGGGTAGCCTAATGGTTAAAGTATTCGCTCGTCACGCCAAAGACCCGGGTTCGATTCCCCATATGGATACAATATGTGAAACCCATTTTTGGTGTCCCCTGCCGTGATATTACTGGAATATTGCTAAAAGCAGCATAATACCCAACTCACTCACTCATTCATTAGGATTTTATACCTATACACATCTTGTACGCACTTGTACTGACCACCACTGACCTCACACCTGTATACACACCTGTTGCTAACTGTGACACCAGTGGACATATGTATACTGGTGTAATGTAATTACATTTTCTGGTTAACTGTGATTATTATTCAGATCTCAGATATAATCTTTGGAAGGAAATAACCAGTGTCCATCCTACATTCTCATCTATGTCAGCAGTAGATAAAATGGTATTCTTACTTACAAATAACCAGTTCGTAAAGCCCCTTGCCACACTCGTCCATACTATGTTTAGGCGCCGGAATATTTCTGTAGAATAGGCAACTCTACAATGTCCTTATAACAATAAGGTCAACATGTTTGTTATTTATGTAATTTATGCATTTTAGGTAAGAAAGTGTAAGTGTGTGTGCGTGCGTGCGCGTGTATGTGGGTCTGTCTGTCGTAGGTTCTGTCTGTAGGCTCGTGCGCTCGTGTTTGTGTATGTGTATGTGTGCGTGCGTGTGGGTGTGTGAAGGTGTATGCGTTTTGTGTTTGTGCATACAGTTCAGCCTGCGTGTGTGTATGTGTGGGTGTGATTTTATCACTAATGTTTTATACAACTGTGATATTTGTGTCTCATAGGCCTTATGGCCGGATGCTGCTTTAAACTCTCGCAATAATGTACCGTCCTTTTTAATGTTCTGCAGCATGTGACACATTAATAAACTATATTTCTTCTTCTTCTTCTGTATACTCACTTCATAAAGTTCTGGAGATTGCCGTGAGGTATAAACTCCATGATGAGGGCAATGGGCTCATTGAGGGTGCACGCTCCAATCATGGCCACGATGTTGGGGTGAGATCCGACACGCTTCATCAGGTTGATCTCTGCTACCAGGTCTTCCTTGTAGGACAGTGGGGCTCCCTCTGAAACAGGTAAACACCTAGTCAGCCCGATGAACAATACCTGCCCTATCAGCCTCCTTGTAACACTGAGGCTCTTCTGAAACAGCTGTATGTTACTACATCAGCTGGGTCAGCAATAATGTTTCAACAATACCCGCCATGACCCAGCCCTCACAACCTCTTTGTAAACACCAGGCCCTCCACACCTTGTAAACACCTGGCCCTCCACACCTTGTAAATGACAGGCCCTCCACACCTTGTAAATGACAGGCTCTCCACACCTTGTAAATTACAGGCCCTCCACACCTTGTAAACACCAGGCCCTCCACACCTTGTAAACACCAGGCCCTCCACACCTTGTAAACACCAGGCCCTCCCCACCTTGTAAATACCAGGCCCTCCACACCTTGTAAACACCAGGCCCTCCACACCTTGTAAATACCAGGCCCTCCACACCTTGTAAATGACAGGCCCTCCACACCTTGTAAACACCAGGCCCTCCACACCTTGTAAACACCAGGCCCTCCACACCTTGTAAACACCAGGCCCTCCCCTGGCACCTTGTAAATGACAGGCCCCCCTGTGAATAGGCCACCTTGTAAATGACAGGCCCTCCACACCTTGTAAATGACAGGCCCTCCACACCTTGTAAACGACAGGCCCTCCACACCTTGTAAATGACAGGCCCTCCACACCTTGTAAATAACAGGCCCTCCAAACATCCTTGAAAACACCAGGCTCTCTAAAACTCCTTGTAACTGAGAGGCTCAACAAACCTTTCCTGCAAATAATCCCACAAAACCTCCTTGTAAATACCAGGCCCACCAAACCTTCTTTTAAATAGGCACATGAAACCTCCTTGTAAATTACGGGCCAACCAAGCCACCCTGTAAATAATCCCACCTAACCTTGTAAACACCTGGCCCACCCAACCTGCTTGTAAGACAGGGACTACCGGGAATTAAATATTTAGAATATTAGAATGACTTTCAACACCTTGACATTTATTACCTCCCCTTAGGTGAAGGTATCAGGTCCACCAAAGTGCATCAACATCAAATTCTCAAACAAAAGAACAAGGCCAAGTTGCCATTTCACAAAACATATATAAACAGGTGATTAAAGCAGCCGTGAAAGGCTGTGAACAGTCTGAATATGACACAGCTCAAGTACTGCCATGAACCAGTCTACAACACAGTTAAGATTCCAGGATAAATTCTGCTAATGTCTGATCTGAGTCATGGCAATAAAGATATTTTAAATATTCTGACTTCTTCACATGTATGTAGGTTAACAGCTCGACATTCAAACCCTGCGTTGTATATTACCCCTCAACAACCACGAAGGACACTAAATACATATTAGAACACACATCAGCAGTATCTCTCGGAAACTTATCTCTTCACAAGTGACACAAACACCTTATTTCAAACACGTATTCGACATCAGTTTCCTTATAAAAAACACTGTTGAAAGTGTCCAGGTGATCATCAGCCGACACAAATAGCCCTGTTTATCAAATACAAGCCCACAGCATCGCAATCTAACTTTAGAAGCCAGATTAAAAGGTGGTTGGGCTATTTAGGAGGAAGTGAGCACTGTTGTGCCCCAGCCTCATCCCTCCAGCATCAAAGCATGTGTTCTATAGCATCTGATGCGGCCAAGAGAGAGTGGGATCTAGACAAGTGTCTATCTAAGGCTATGGACTGTATGTTCAGGGTAGCTACCAGCCGTCAGTGTTTGTTTTCCTTCATTTCTTTTCTCCTTGCATCCTCGTAGGATAGGGTGAGACAATCAACTAAGTCCTGCTTCACTGAGGAATGATCTTCACTGTGTGAAGCCTGGAATCTGTTTAGAGTTGAATAATCTTCCTTTGTCTGCGTACATCTCAACACTAATGATCCATTAACTCCAGCTTTGCTTTTCTAAGTTTGTTAAAAAAACAAGTTACTCACTAAATAGAATCGAAAATGTTTAAAAGACACAGACTGAGGTGTAAACTGACATTTCATTTGCCCAAATTATTTTGATCATTTTCTTATGTGAATATTTCTCCAAGCCTTGATAGCTATTAATGAGGATGCTCTGTTGATAAAACAAACAAACAAACAAAATTAAAAAATCATATCACATGGATCATTACAGATCATGATGACCCTGTAACAAGAACTATTATTAAGAAGACCATACATAAAATCTTCAGTTGCATGTACTGAATGGGACCTTTATTTCATTCACTTTAAAGAAATCAAGATCTGTTGTGAAGGACTGTACAGGATCAAATCACATCTCTTTGACACCAGTGGAGGCACATGTCTGTCTGTTACTAGTGATGGTACTGGTCTGACTTTCACATTGCTCTTTATTGCAATAATGATTCATGTTTTGCAACATCAACCATAATATACATCTGTAATTCCTTAAAACTTGAATTAAAACTTTCAATCCACATTTTCAAAAATATCACACATCTGACATTTCGCTGGTGTTGCTATGGTCACAATACATGAGAAATAGACATTATATGCAGGAACTTTGTCCCAAAATGTTTTTTTGATTACATGAATCTTGCTAACTTCAGAATTGTGAATGTTCAATGCCATGTAGAAAGTGGTCCAATGTAACATGTTACATTTGAGATTACACTTTCTCGATAAATACAATTTACACTTGTCAGAGGGGTACATAAAGCCGGTGATCTAGACTAAAAGCCCATGATTTTTGTAAGCGGTGGCAGAGTGGGTTAGATGGCTGACTTTGTGTGCTGGCGATGAGAGTGTTGGTTTGAATCCTGGATGGAATCTGTACTTTACGTACTTTACGGAGAAAGTGTAATCCCAAATATAGCATGTGTAACATCAGAATTTCAAAGTGACTCGTCTCTTATGAAACTAAGCCAACAAAAAAATATGCATGATTTTGGAAAATGCAAAATAATGGTATTTTCAAAGGGTACTTTGAATAGACATTCTTCTTTAATTTGAACCATGGTATACTGGTGATACCTGGTACCATTCCTGTCATCGGTTACGAGGTGGTTGTGTTTTGTAAACCCTCTCAGCACCCTGCTGATGAAGATGATACGTGGTACCATTCCTGTGATCAGGTATGAGGTGGTTGTGTTTTGTAAACCCTCCAGCACCCTGCTGATGAAGATGATACCTGGTACCATTCCTGTCATCAGGTACAAGATGGTTGTGTTCCGTAAACCCTCCAGCACCCCGCGGATGAAAATGATACCTGGTACCATTCCTGTGATCAGGTACGAGGTGGTTGTTCCGTAAACCCTCCAGCACCCCGCTGATGAAGATGATACCTGGTACCATTCCTGTGATCAGATACGAGGTGGTTGTGTTTTGTAAACCCTTGCAGCACCCCGCGGATGAAGATGATACCTGGTACCATTCCTGTCATCAGGTACGAGGTGGTTGTGTTCCGTAAACCCTCCAGCACCCCGCTGATGAAGATGATACCTGGTACCATTCCTGTGATCAGGTACGAGGTGGCTGTGTTCCGTAAACCCTCCAGCACCCCGCTGATGAAGATAATACCTGGTACCATTCCTGTGATCAGGTACGAGGTGGTTGTGTTTTGTAAACCCTTGCAGCACCCCGCTGATGAAGATGATACCTGGTACCATTCCTGTGATCAGGTACGAGGTGGTTGTGTTCCGTAAACCCTCCAGCACCCTGCTGATGAAGATGATACCTGGTACCATTCCTGTGATCAGGTACGAGGTGGTTGTGTTCCGTAAACCCTCCAGCACCCTGCTGATGAAGATGATACCTGGTACCATTCCTGTGATCAGGTACGAGGTGGTTGTGTTCCGTAAACCCTCCAGCACCCTGCTGATGAAGATGATACCTGGTACCATTCCTGTGATCAGGTACGAGGTGGTTGTGTTTTGTAAACCCTCCAGCACCCTGCTGATGAAGATAATACCTGGTACCATTCCTGTGATCAGGTACGAGGTGGTTGTGTTTTGTAAATCCTCCAGCACCCCGCTGATGAAGATGATACCTGGTACCATTCCTGTCATCAGGTATGAGGTGGTTGTGTTCTGTAAATCCTCCAGCACCCTGCTGATGAAGATGATACCTGGTACCATTCCTGTGATCAGGTACGAGGTGGTTGTGTTCCGTAAACCCTCCAGCACCCCGCTGATGAAGATGATACCTGGTACCATTCCTGTGATCAGGTACGAGGTGGTTGTGTTTCGTAAACCCTCCAGCACCCTGCTGATGAAGATGATACCTGGTACCATTCCTGTGATCAGGTACGAGGTGGTTGTGTTCCGTAAACCCTCCAGCACCCCGCTGATGAAGATGATACCTGGTACCATTCCTGTGATCAGGTACGAGGTGGTTGTGTTTCGTAAACCCTCCAGCACCCTGCTGATGAAGATGATACCTGGTACCATTCCTGTGATCAGGTACGAGGTGGTTGTGTTTTGTAAACCCTCATGAACCCTGCTGATGAAGACGATACCTGGTACCATTCCTGTGATCAGGTACGAGGTGGTTGTGCTTTGTAAACCCTCCAGCACCCTGCTGATGAAGATGATACCTGGTACCATTCCTGTGATCAGGTACGAGATGGTTGTGTTTTGTAAACCCTCCAGCACCCTGCTGATGAAGATGATACCTGGTACCATTCCTGTCATCAGGTACGAGGTGGTTGTGCTTTGTAAACCCTCTCAGCACCCTGCTGATGAAGATGATAGCATGTACCATTCCTGTGATCAGGTACGAGGTGGTTGTGTTTTGTAAACCCTCCAGCACCCTGCTGATGAAGACGATACCTGAGGAATCTGGAGACATGGGGTGTGTACAAACATGCTCATAAACGCAGTGGTATGTCCGTAGATTCCTCCACACCTGAGACCTACAAATAGCTGTTTCAGAATGTCGTGCTGGCAGCTTACTTTCATCCAGGTAATTTTGAATTTCATCTGATGAACATGGTGATTGATCTTTGCATCCTGGCATTAGTTAATTACATTGCATGTTTCATGCACATAG